CCGTTCACAACATGGTGCCACGGTGGCCATTGCCAGTCACAAAACCCTTTAGAAGAAGGCAAACTACTGAAGCTGCTCCCTGCCACCTCTTGTCTCAAAAGGTTACTCCAGGTTGAACTGCTCAGTGTTGTCTTTTTTTCTGGACAAGCACCCTTCAAAAGAAGGCACTAGGCTAGAGCCACTCAGCATTTTTATCATTTAAGATCTCACAGAAGCCTCGATATGGCAGGTGCTTTGCTTTGCAGCATACCAGTTTTCTGTTCCTTCTTTATTTGCTGAATTAAGAGAATCTTATAACAATGAAGTCAGGTGGATGAGGGGGTCTGAGGAATGGCAAGGCAAATCTCTGTTGGCACCCTGCTGTCACCCTCTGTCCTAGATCTAGCCTTGCATGCTATGGAACAAACTCTGAGCCATTGTGGCCTCAAGAAGTCCAACTGTTGCCACTGCAATTTAACTTTTAATGAGACAGAAGTAGGAAAATGCTGAATCCAGGGTCAAGTGTTTTTTGAGACAAGCTGAACTCCTTGTTACTTCATGGACACACCGAGATAGTTTTCTTGGCAGTAGTACAGAAGTGGTTTGCCACTGTTTTCTTCTGGGACGATTCTCATTACCCAGTCTAGCCCCTCATATTAGAACTCCCTGGAGGTCTCTCATCCAAGTACTAACCAGACCCAACCCTGTTTAGCTTCCAAGCACAAACTAGATCATCCATTTAAATCAAACTTAGCATTTGATTTATTTACTAGAGTATATAATATATATATATAGAGAGAGAGAGTATATATATAGAGTATATAACCCTAACCCTAACCCTTTTGCACAGGAGCTTATGACAGCATACGTAGTCACTCCTCCTCCTGTTTGTCCCCACCACAGCAATCCTGGGAGATAGGCTGGGCTGAGAGAGATGACTGGCCCAAGGTCACACTGATCTTCTGTGGCTGAGGATATGAACACAGTCCATTTAGGCGACAATCCTTATGGCATCCAAGAGACATATCCCAAGGACCACAAACCTGAGCAGATTTCTTTTGTGGTTGGAGACAGAACTCCAGTCCTGGGAATCTGGTACTGGCCTGCAGCCCCCTAAATAATTACAGAGGGATGGAAAGAAGATTAAGAAGCTTAAGCAGTTGCCTGGCATGTTGCAGTGACTCCTCCTTTTTGAAAGAATCTTTTCAAATTCATTCCTTGTTGTTTTGCCTGGGTTTCTCCATCCAAGGAAAATTTAAACAAGCTAGTGAGAGGGTATAAATTATTTCCAATGATTTTATTTTTTGCAATCATTACTTGGGGAAAAAAAAAAGACTTCCCAGGAGGGGATAAGAAACAATTCTCCACAGACACTGATCACCTGCTGATCTGTCAACAGCAGAGCACTGGTTTCCTCAGGAGCTCTGATACTGGGCCTTTCTTGAAATTACTCTGTAAATATTTACTGATTGAATTAGAAATCCAAATTACTTTATACACATCATGTAATCTGCTCCCATGGGGATTAAACCATCTCAGAGTCCTGTGTACCATAGTGCATCAGAAATAAATTGTACGTAAAAACCAGATTAAAACTGGTCTTCTCTAAATTTGGAAGATAACCAATCTAGATTCATACATAGAGGTTGTTTAAATTGTTACATTTAAATTGTTAATATAAAAGGAAGTGATATAATTTAGCTTGGATTTAATTTTTCCAACTGATTATAGTTTAAGCTTATTGCCTAGCACAGATTTACAGATAACAACACTCTTTCAAAGTATAAACAAGTTATAGTCTCTACATTTAGGTTAAGTACACTCTTATCGCACTTGCTCCAAAGTAAACATGTTCTGAATTGCACAATTTGCTTAAGTCCTTCAAACTTCCAGATGTTTTTGCAAGAAGCAAAGAAAAAGCCTTGACGTTGGAAGAGATATGTAGAAAAAACTTGCAGCCTAGGTTCTGGAAACAGGGTGAACAATGCAAGGCTCTTTTTGTGTGGCCTTGAACTCAAGGGCAGAGCCCCAAACAATTGCTGTTTGATTTCCTTCAGATTTTCAGCAGGAAATGAAAGGAAAGTGACATATTAAAGACTTAGGGCTTTGCAAATCAGAATGTCTGCAGAAAGGAATGCTTGTTCCATTTAGCTGGCAAACACTAGTTCCCTAACAGATTTTTTTGATCCAGCTTCAGACTGCCTAACCAGAAGAATGGCCTCGAATGGAAGCTCCAATGTGGAAACATGTCCTCAATAACACGTAAGCCTGCCATCTTGGAACCATGCAGATGACTCCTTAGTTTTCACAAATACTTTTGTTGGTGCCGGTATACTTCATCAGACATACAGAATAGAGGTCTGAGAAATAAACTGTCATTGCAGAGAGGGAGAAGAGCAAGATCTACCTCTCTAATAAGGATTAAAAACATGGGAGCACATGAAGCTTTCCTTCCCTCCAGTACAAATGCCTCCTAACAAATAGGACATATCCTTTTTGAATTTATTCTTCTTCTTGTGTCACTGTTTCAGATTGATTAGAAAAGTTTGTTGTGTTATAAGGTGCTGTCTTATTTCTCTGTAGCTGTACTTGGGAGATATTTAAAGATAACTCCATATGACTTTGACCTCTTGAGGTCACCGAGTAATTTATTTAGCCAGTCCACAGTATCCAGCTGTTTATTTTTCCAATATTTCCCCCCTGCCTTATTATTTATTATGGATGACAATGATAATCATAATATATATATTAAACATATTTCTATGCTTCTGCCATCAATAAAGACTTGCCATGGCTTACATAGAACCAATACAAGTTAAAGCCCAGAGTCCCTCCTTGTGGGGGAGTTGGGCGGTGATATAAATTTGATTTATAAATAAATAAATAAATAAATAAATAAATAAATAAA